CCGATTTGGTGAGTCCGGTGTACATTGATACTGTCGGTCGGTGTTGAAAAATCCAAAGCCATCGGTGAGCTAGCGTTTTATCGGTCAAAATTAGATCGATACGTATCCATGTATTAATAATATCAGTTGTGATCGTTTGATAATATCGATTTGGGTATTAAATAAATCACCCCTCACGTGGCCTTCCTTGAAATACGAGTTTCGACTTTCCAATGCACTCCCTATTGCGTCTCGAAGTGTTGACATTCTTTCGCACTGTACGTAAGCCAGCCGCGCTAATCGGTGCAGATGTCAAATCGCTCGCAGACAAAATAATTCACGCGCTGCTCATCTCTGCACCTCCCAGTTTTACTCAACGGCCCTGGGGTGGGAGCAGTGCCGGATTAAGCAAGTGTGGGGCCTGTAGCATAATGTTATAAAGGGGCCCTAAATAAAAAAAAAAACGCATAAATATTAAAATAAATTTTTTACTTGCATAGTAATGTATATGTATTTTTATTTGCTATACAGCCATATGTTACGACAAATCGCTAAGCTTAAACACCCGGTCGTTCATAAAAGTTGACGACGGTATAGTACTATAGTAATAGAGCAAGTGCAGAATCACTAATCCGGAATTGATAGCTTGAAAGAATTTAGCGCGGGGCCCTTGAAAGTGCGGGGCCTGTCGCATATCTAGCTACTTTTGCTACGAGGATAATCCATTACTGAGTGGGGTGTTGGGGGGGGAAGCGGTGTGGGTTGGAGCCATGAACCTTCGCACCTTGGACAAAAGGCTTCCGTCGAATCGTCCGAGCCGCACGTGGCAACTGGGTGGTGTGAGGAGCGTAAACAAGGGGCAGAGGCAGTGTGTAGGGCACCCATGGAGACGTGGGAACAGGTGCTGCAATAAAACAAACGAAAAACACAGATCGTGCCTGCGGCCTTTAACAAGAGTTTCTTGAGAGGCAAGCGCTGGCCCACCCCGCCCCTGCGGTACAGCGCACAAGGCGGGGCGGCTGGCTGAGTAGACACGCATGCGCTCGCTCGACTACCCACCCCCTTTGGTGATCTGATAACCAGGGTCCATGACCCCGCTAGGCCGTTTGCAATATCCTGGCGTGTGGTGCGATCCCCGTTTCAAAATCGTTCGAGAGATCGGTGTGCGCTGTTGGGGAGCGAGGGCTCTGTGCGTGGTGTGGGTGGGGGGAGGGGGTTCACGGGGGGGGAGGGGCCTGGTGGTTAGGGCAAATGTATCAAGATACCCGTGAGATGATCATCTACGGTAATGAATTATCATTGAGCTGCCCCGAACGCCCTTTGTCCGTCGACGATCTCGTCAGAAGTCTGCGGCTGAGTAGGCCGTCGAGCGCGGGGTGGGAGGCCCGGTGGGTGAGGTCAAAGGGCATAAACTACGCTTCGCCGCAGCCCACAGCACGCGAGCTGCCAACTCTCCGATCAGCGCGGTTGGCAACGTACGGTGCGAAAGAAGTTCAACGCACGTGCGTACTATTAATGCTGCTGCGGGGAGAGAGGCGGGGGGGGCGTTGGAAAAGGGGCGGCTTTGAGAAGCTTGCCAAATTGTTTTGCCTGCCGCGTGCCGTGAGGTCGCATCGAAACGCCAACCCCTGCATTGCGAGTCCAAGTTTATCTAGAAAATAATAAAAATATAATACTGGACAGCCCTTTGTTCATCCACTGCTGGACGAAGGTTCCCCGACAGCACTTTCCCCAACAGTCTATGTATGCGGTAGTGTCGTAATTCGCGCACACTGCTATAAACCCAGCCGCCAAAGTTTCGATTCCCGGCCATGGTTATCATCATTGGTGATTGTCTGCACCGGTCCCGTGCCTCCTCTAGGTCAACCCGGCCTTAAATTAGTATCCCATGCTGTGTGAAAAAATAACTCTCACTAGAGAGACAAAGGCATCTGTCCGTCCTTCCACCCACACCCACCCACGTGCACCGTGCCAGCCTTCATAGGTGCTCAGAACTGCACTTACCCGAACAGCCCGTCCAGCCTACACGCGGGACAAGGGGATGGGGGGGATCTTTGGCTTCACCTTTGTCCTCCGCTGGTATCCCCCCCCTCCCCCCCTCCAGCGCAGCGGCTCGACGGACTCGCAGGAGCCTCACACCCCTCGGAGGAAAGCTTCTCCAGCTCTGGCGGCAGCAGCGAGTCCATCACCGGGCTGCCCTTCCACCTGGACGACGTCGACCGGCGCAGCGGCGGCAGCGGCAGGCGGGAGCCGGCGCCGGTCCCTCGCCAAATCCGGAACAACTTCCCCCAGCTGATGATCGCCCGGGGCAGGCGGCCGCAAGAGTACCTCGACCCGTCGGACGACTCGCGGTCCATGCCCCCGACCGATGACGACGACGGCGGCAGCGGCTACGACTTCGACGGCGACTTCCAGCAGCTGTTGGGACAGCTCAACATCAACAAATTTGGGGGCCGACCGTCGAACATCGCCGGCGTCGCCGTGGCGAGCGGGGCCCCAGCCCGCGGCGCCGGCGTTCCGGCGCGATCGCCGCCAGACTTGCCGCCGAGCCCGGAGGGCGACCGCGGCGACGTCGACGGGCGGCGGCGCCTTGCGTCGACGCGGCGATGGAGGGGGTCGTGCCGCCGGCGGATCAGTGCCTGGCGCAGCGGGAGCTGCGGCAGATGTCGCAGACGTCGCTGCGTCGCTACTGCCAGGACACGCGGAACGGCGTCGGCGGATTGGGCGAGAGCCCCGTCGCTTGCATCGGGCCGCCTGCCTTTTTGCCCGCTTATCAGCACGTGCAGCATCAGGAGCAGCAGTATCAGCAGAATCAGTATCAGCAGCAGAATCAGCAGAATCAGTATCAGCAGAATCAGTATCAGCAGCCGCAACAGTATCAGCAGCAGCTTTATGATGACCAGCAGCTTTATGATCACCGAATGCAGCAGCATGTTCAACTTCAACAACAACAACAACAGCAGCAGCAGCAGCAACAGCTTTATCAGCAGCAGCAGCAGCACCATCTTCATCATCAGCAATATCCCGACCATTACAATCATCAGCAGATCCCCATGTCGCCGCACAACTCGCAGCCGGCCTCGCCGCAGCACGCGCCTCCGGGCATCCTCGTCGACGGAGGAGGCGTTTGTAGCTCGCGCGTGTCGCTGCCGCCCCCCCGCCGGCGGCCTCCGACGGCGGCGGCGGGCGGCCCGCTCGGCGTGGCGGACGTGCGGGCGTCATTCAGCCGGCAGAGCAGCCTCGGCCTGTCGAGGCTGGAGCCGCCGGGCCCCCTGGTGTCGCACACGGAGGCCGGCGCGGTGGGCGACGGGGGGTGCGCCGAGAGGAACTGGCACCACGGCCCAGCGGAGGGAGAAGCCTTCTCGCCCGGCGCGCCGTGAGTATAGTCAGGGTGGGGGGGGGGGGGACACGCGTGTGCGCCTCGTAGCGTCGTTGTCGTCGTTGGTGCGGGTTGAGTCGCTCGCGCTCGCCCGGGAAGCGCAGGCGCACGGGGTCAAGGCAGCAGCCGGTCGGCCGGTAATGCCGGCACGACCAGCGGTTACCCAAGGTCCGCAGTCCTCTACGTAGCGAGGTGTTTTGAGCCGATCTTAATGAGCGTTTAGACGTGCGGGAGGAACTGTAGCACGTGTATCCCAAAAAAAGAAGGAACAGATGGAGTTAGTCCGCGCTTTGCTGTACTGCCCCGTGCCGCGCCGAGGTAGGGCACCCACGGCAAGGGAGTTTAGCCACAGTTTAGCGATACGCAAACCTGTCAACCCCTTATCAGTGCCCTACATTATTACAGACTAATTCAGACGTTATTGGTCACCCCGTGCCCCTTAGAAATCTCAACGTTCATCCTACAAAGTCCCATCACAAAGGGAGAAACACAAACAAATCGGTATTTTTCAATGTATTTGTCCCGTATTGAAACGGCCGTACGCCGCATGGACCTGAAAACTTCTCCCTCTACAAGAGCACGGGCGAACCGCGTGGGTTGACACGGTATGGGAACACCGACCTGCGCTTGCCACCGTAATTTTGGACTACGAGCCACGTGTCCAGCCACCACCACCACCACCACGACCGCCCGGCTTGTATTGTTAGCGTCTGTGCGTGTCTGTCTATATACGTGCGTGCGTGTGTATGTGGGGAGCGGTGACGTGGCAGAGACCCGAGGTTCGATTCCCCCCCCACGGCCAACACCAGTGACAATACTCTTAGGTTTTTTCGGGAAAGTCACGTGGGTAAAAAATTTAATAATAAAATGATAGAAATAATAATAGAAATAAAAATAAGAAATCGCGACGTTTCGGGCACAACACAAGTGTCCGTCATCAGGTGGGACAACCACAGCAAGAAACAATTGCTGAAGTGGCTCACTTCGTCTGCTTGGGTGACTTTACTGAAAAAACCTAAGAGTATGAATCCTTGCAGTCACGAAAGCTTCAAATCTAGAACCAGTGACAATTTTCTGTACTGGTTCCTGGACGGTCCCCTGAGTCGATTCGGCCTGAAAATGAGTAACTTATGGGGTGTGCAAACATTGCCACTAGGGAGACAAAGGTGACCAGGTGTGGTGCTGGCCACGTCACCCCCACGTGTACCATGCCAGACTTCGTAGGTGCTCGCTAACAGCACTTGCCCCAACAGTCTGTTAAGGCTAAACGGTGGTATTTTGTCTACAGTCTCAGTCGATCAACTCATAACACCGGTTCAGATAATCGTCACTGGTGTTGGCCGTGAGCGGGAAGCGAACTCGGGTCGCCGGGTCCGACGCTCAGCGCGCTAACCACTGCGCCACCGATCCCTAACACAAATAAAGATGCCCCGTGTAGCCTTAACAGACTGTTGGGGCAAGTGCTGTCAGCGAGTGCCAGTGGTGGGTGGCCAGCACCACCCCCGGCCGCCTTTGTCTCCCCGGTTGACTGTCTGTTGACAGTCTGTCATAGGCTATAGGGGGGATCTTTGTCTTTGTGTGTCTATAAATGCGGCCGGGCGTGGTTCTGGCCACATCACCCACTTATGTGCCTTGCTGGCCTCTGGCCGGCCTTCATAGGTCCTTGCGAACAGCACTTGCATTGAGTCGATGACGTGGGGGCCGCATGGACTGGTGTGTGTGTGTGTGTTGGGAGCGGTGAGTCAGCCCTGCGCCCCCCTAGGTCGACTCAGCCTTTAATTAGTACACGGTGTGGTGTGTATCGCATCGGCACTGGCAAGAGGCAAAGTTGACGTGGTGCTGGCCACACCACTGCATCTTGAGCAGCACTTTCCACCACGGGCTAAAGAGGCTACGTTGTTAACTGCATCTGCGTGCGCTTTTGCTCTTCGCAGACCGGCGTGCTCTCCCGGCGGCGCCCGGACGCAAAGCATCGTCCTTCCAGACCGACAGCGTGAGTTCCCCTCGGCAAGCCCTCTTGCCTGATCACCGTCATCGCCAGCGCCTGCGCCGATAAACCATTTTATCTTCTTGGTTCTTTCGGTAAAGTCACGTAGAAGGGAAGAACAGGTCTGTCGGAAAGACAGCGTCTGAAGTTGCTGTCAAGGCGCTCTTCCCCCTCCAACCCAACTTAAATATACGCTTCCAAGCCTGGTGGTGTTCATTCAGACGCTGTCTTTCCGACAGACCTGTTCTTCACCTGAGGACGGCTGCTTGCGTTGTGGGCCGAAACGTCGTGAGAATTATTTTTATTATGTTTATTTTTATTATTTTATTATTCCCTTCTACGTGACTTTACCGAAAGAACCAAGAAGATGAATCCCTGCAGTCACGAAAGCTTTAAATCGAAATTTAAACCATTTTATGTTGATTTTACCATGGAGGTTTTTACCACCGAGGCTATGTAGTAGGTTTTCAGTTGCATTTATTTGGTATAGCCCTGTGAGCCATTCGGCTCTTGAATCGGGTGCAACCGCAACAAACAAAAACATGAACAAGAAAACATCTTAAAGTCACTATATGACTGTGTGCAAACAGAAAATCCAAGAAAGACAGCAAAATATTGCAGAAAAAGCACCGTACACCAACGCTGTGTGCAAAAATCCCAGTGGGTTGCAAGTCAAACAACAACAACAACCACAAGACAACTTAGATTAAGGCCATCAGTCTAACTCCGTACTCCAACAAACAAAAATGGCCAAACCAAAACACTTTTCGAAATCACCAAAATAAAGCCATAAAGCAATGTAACAGTGATCATAGGAACTGTGACCGAATTTTCACAATAAACGACATAAACAACATGTACTACCAAACCCTGCAGCCATAGCTGGCTGCGTGAGTCACTCCAAAACAGCAGGAGCATCAGTCAGAGTATACAAATTTTTCAATGCACCTTTAAGATCAGGTAAGACCCACTGAGCTGTGTAGCTCTTCTATAGAAGCGACCTGGCCACAAATGATAGCTCAACGAAGTGGCTTATCGTCACGTGAGAATTTATCGCAGCCGAATACTCTAAACGCGTGCTGTTGATTCTAACGTGGAGGGAAAAACCGGAGAAAAATCCACAGGACCACGGGGAGAACATGCAAACGCCAAATATTCAGGCGTCAGGGTTGGGATCGAATCCACAATCTCCTGTATACCATGCGAGGTAGTTAACATCTCGCCACTGCGTGCCCTAGCAACCGTTGCATTTGGTTCCTCACCTGGTTCACCTGGGATTCACGCGGCGAGTGTTATCACTCGGAGAGCGTTACTCCGTGCCACCACCCCCTCTCCCCCCCTCTCTCTCCGTGCCACCACCCGCTCTCACTCTCGTGCCCATCTTCATTATTCGTTCTCATGAACAGGGCTCACCGCACGCTTATGCTACCCCAAGCTCATGAAAACACGTCCCTGGATTTTGTATGAGCCCGCAGCCGGACCGCGTTGTGGTTGGATGCATTCAAACGGAAAGTGACGATCTGTCTTCGATCTTCACGCATTCCTCTGGAACCTTCTCTCTTCCTTCTCCGCTACCCCCCCCCCCCCCCCCCTGTCATCCTCTTCCCCCAACGCCGTTCTCACCCACAGGCAAGATTTTCGTCACATATTCTTTGGACAACGACGCCCACATCGGCAAGGTCATCTCCTTCGTGACCTGGCTCCGTAAAAATGGATTCTACACAGAGGTGCGTAGGCGCGGTCGCCCCCCACCCCCCACATGTGCCGGTGAGTCTCCAGAAACCCCTGGGGCTATACTCGAGAGCCGTCACGGAGGTCAGCGATCGGGCAGACCGAAACGCTCCGCTCGGAGGCCGGGGTTTAACGAGTCTCCCCTTGCCCCCCACACGGGGGCAGCTGCCAGCGGGGGTGCCCCTCGTCCAGCGTGCAGCCCCCACCGGCTTGGAGCAAGGGGGCGGCTCTGTCGCTGCTAGCTAGCTGCTAAAAACAACAAACCCAAGCAGACGAACGTGGCCGCGGGGGGCTTGCGGCGTCTCCCGTGTCGTTTTGTCCGCGAGTTCCACCTGGTCGTGGCTCTCGCAAGCCAAGCAAGCGTTGAGCCTGGGCCGCGCTCGGATTGGGCAGCCCACGATTACACACCGTCTGGTTGTGATCTGCGGCGGCGGGGGGGCGGGGGGGGGGCGCGTCGTGGCGGGCGTTGTTGTACTGCACCGTGACGCCTCCGCGTCTGTGCGAGCCGCCTTCAACCAACCAAACAAACCAACCATCCGCGCCGACCAGCGCGGGGAATTTTCGGCCAAAGAACCCCACACGAGTTGCCAGCAGCGCGAGGAGGCCCTCATCCAGCAGTGGAGTGACACGAGGGCCTCGTGCGTGCGTACATGTACATATGTCGAACTTGGCTTCTTACCGTACGTAGCCAACCGTACGCGAACAGATCGCGGAGCGTTGGCGAGGCGGTTGGTGCGCTGCGCTGCCAACCGGGCAACCCGCCCGGGGCTGAACTCCAGAAAACATTGCCCTGGAAAGTATTCCGTGAGAAATCAAGCCCTGCTGCTGGGGAGACAAAGGCGGCCGGGCACGATGCTTGGCCGCGTCCCCCTCCCGCGTTGCGCCGAGGCTGCCTTCGTAGGGCGCTCGCTATCGCCGCTTGCCTACACGGGGGAACATTTGTCTCTCCTGCCTTGTGTCCTTGCCCCCCCCCCCGCCCCCCCAGATGGACATGTTCGACACGCTGCTGCAAGGCATGAGTAAGATCGAGTGGATGGACCGCTTTCTGGACGACGTACGTTCCCCGAGCCTCATTTTTCTCCTGCCTGCCTGTCCTGCCTCTCTTCCTGCCTGTCTTTTACCTCGCCTGCCTGCCTGCCTTCCCGTCCATATCTCTGCCCGTCTGCCTTGGCGGCGCACCCATCACTGCCCGTACGGCACTGCCGTAGAGATGTGCCTCCACCCACACCACGCCGCTCTCTGTAAACATTCCATCCCCCTTCTCCCCCACCCCCTCTCCACCATCCCCCGCTACAAGTGAGTGGCCACCACGGCTGCCGTGTCTTCACAATGCGACGTCCTCGCGCGTTTTCTTCCTCGTGCGTGACCACAGCTCACGATGACTGTGCAGTTCGCCGGGAGACGAGTCTTTAAAACATCTGTAGTGTGAATAGAGGGGGCACGGCACAGCAACACAAGACGAGTCTTTAAAACATCTGAATGGTTAAAACTCGCGGTTGCAGAATTCGTGAATGCAGAAACCTCGTGCGGGGGGGGGGGGGGAAATGGGGGGTTACGTTCCTGGTTCGAGTGAACATAGGGGAGGGGGGCGGGGGGAAATAATTACAAAGAATAATGCAGAATTATAGATATTTTTTATTACCTTTGGTGATGACGATGATGATTTGACAACGATGGAGTAGGTGGTGCTGATGCCGAGGAATTCCGGAGGGGACGACTCCTCGGGAGAGGCAGATGTGTGGTGACAACGCCGCACAGCTGTTCTCATTCTAGCACTCTGGGGGGGGGGGGGGGGGAGGCGCTAGCCGCAGCACTTTCCCCGATCGCATTTCGCGTTCTTTTGAATGGGCCTCGCAGTCGACTCGTTTCGATCAAAATGTATCACTGAGTCGACTGCGAGTACGTCTTAAGCAAACGTGCGCGGTCGCGAGTTCGGAGCGGGATTGCTGCGAGACCGAGGACCAGAGGTCGCAAACGGGTACCCGTACCCATACCCGGCCGGGTACGGGTACCCGTTCCTTACCCCTACCCGTACCCTACCCGAAATGAGTGACAAACGGTTACTCACCAGTGACTCACGGCCTACCCGTACCCGTACCCGGCCGCACCAGGGTCGCAAACTGGTACCCGTACCCGTACCTGGCCGGGTACCCATACCCGTACCTGGCCGGGTACGGGTAGCCGGGTATTGGGTAGGGTACGGGTATTGGTACCTGGTTGCGACCTCTGCCGAGGACTACGTGGAGAGCTGAGCGTGGGAGGGCCCCATCCTCGTGGATGACGGTCTCAGACGTAACAACGTTCTGCGCGCACCTCCTCACGGTGTCGGTCGTCTGGCATGACACACGCTCGCGGACACTGGAGTTCGGCGGGCCACAAATGTGGGGGTGGGGATTGGTAAAGATTTAGTTCACTGGCGGATATGCGAGTCCTGAACTCGCGCACAGAGAGGGTTTCACTGTGCTTTGTTCTTGGGTTTTTCGGTAAAGTCACGTAGGTAAAAAATTGAAATTAAAATTAATGAAAGTAAAATAAAAATAAAATAAAAATCAAGACGTTTCGGAGGCAACACAAGCCTCCGGCTTCAGGTGGAACCATCACAGCACGCTTGGTTCCACCTGAAGACGGAAGCTTGTGTTGCCTCCGAAACGTCGTGATTTTTATTTTATTTTTATTTTACTTTTATAAATTTAAACTTTTTTTACCTACGTGACTTTACCGAAAAAACCCAAGAATATGAATCCTTGCAGTCACGAAAGCTTCAAATCTAGAATTTACTGTACTTTGTTTTCTGTGTGTCTGAGGCGGGTTGATGGTATCTCTCGCTCGCTCGCTCCGGGCCTGCCTGTGCGGTGTCACGTCTTGCGTGTAATGCGCATTGTCGTGTGTGCTGTGTGCATCGCGTGTGCTTTGTCTGAGTGAGTGAGCTGGTGAATCTCCAATCCACCAGCTCACTCACTCACTCACACCTACCCACCCACTCACCGACTGAACCACCTCACTCAACCACTCACCCACTTGCTCACCTACTCTAAGCAATCATCCACCCACTCACTTATCCATTCACCAACTCACTACACCACTCAATCGCTCACCCACACACCCACCTACCCACTCATCCATTCACTCTGCCATAACCCACTCACTCATTCACTCACCCACCATCTCACCCGCTCGCTCACCCTACTTATCCACCCCCTCGCACAACCAAATCACCCACCCACTTACTCACTCACCCACTCGCATACTAACACACCTATCCACCATAGCATCTCAACCACCTACTCACCCACCCTATCACTCACCCGCTCGCTCACCCACCTCTCACAGACTCGCAGCTTTGTATGAGTTTGTGGATATCTTGCGTCGCTACTGGGTGTATACACACTACGACAAAGACAACGATCCCCTGTATAGCCTTAACCAAATTGTTGGGGCAAGTGCTGTTTGAGCACCTATGAAGGGCGGAACGGAAACGATGAGGTTGGTGGCCAGCACCACGCCCGACCGCCTTTGTCTCCCCATTGGCGATGATTTTACACACAGGACCAGGTACTCATTGAAGCTGAGTCAACCGGTTTAGATAATCGTCACCGGTGTTGGCCGTGAGCGGGAATCGAACTCCAGCTGCCGGGTTCGGAGCGCAGCGCCCTAACCGCTGCACGACTGCTGCATACACACTCAACTACATGTGCACACTACACGCTCACTACACGCACACTACACGCACACTACACGCACACACACTACATGCACACACACTATACGCACACACTACACACACTACACGCACACACACCACACACGCGACACGCACACACACCACGCACACACACACCACACACACACCACACACACACCACACACACGACACGCACACACCACACACACACCACACACCACACACACTACACGCACACACACTACACACACACTACACGCACACACACTACACGCACACACACCACACGCTACACACACTACACGCACACACCACACACACTACACGCACACACCACACGCACCACACACAGCACCCACACCACACACACTACACGCACACACCACACACACTATACGCACAAACACCACACACACTACACGCACACCACACACACTACACGCACGCACACTACACGCCACACACACTACACACACACCACACACACTACACGCACAAACGCACACACTACACGCTCACACACACACTACACACACGCCACACACACCACACAGACCACACGCACACACACCACACACACTACACGCACACTACACACCCGCCACATGCACTACACACACACACCACACACACTACACGCGCACACACTACACGCGCACACACTACACACACACCACACACGCTACAAACATTACACACACACCACACACTACACGCACACACCACACGTACTACACGCACACACACCACAGGACACTACACACACTATACACACACTACACACCACACACACCACACACACTACACGCACACACGCCACACACTACACACACACCACACACACTACACGCACACACACAACAGACACTACACGCCACACGCACACACACACACTACACTACACACACACTACACACACACTACACACCAGACACACGCACACACGCCACACACTACACACACGCCACACACACTACACGCACACACACAACAGACACTACAAGCACACACACACTACACGTACACACACAACAGACACTACACGCCACACGCACACACACACACTACACACACACTACACACGCGCGCTCTGAGTGCGCAGGTATTCCGATGACACGTTGCGCAATCACCCCAGCACGTACGCACATGCCCGTCCGGTGGTAGCCAAGTGCGTACGTCGAGCGCGTGTGAGAATACCATTGCGCAAGGGGTGGGGAGGGGGTGGTGGTGGCGGGGCTCGGGGTGTCTGAAGGACGAGAGCGATGATTGTGAGAGGGCGATTCGTAGGTTCAATAGGTCGGGGAACTGACTTGGCACCACTCAGATCCTGTGTACGCCAGATGAACTTCAGAAACCATTGCTCGACCACTCACCTCTCATCTCACTCTACTCCCCTCCACGCACTCTCCTACCTCTCCCCTCTCATCTCACTCTACTCCCCTCCACGCACTTTCCTACCTCTCCCCTCTCATCTCACTCTACTCCCCTCCACGCACTCCCCTACCTCTCCCCTCTCATCTAAATCTACTCCCCTCCACGCACTCTCCTACCTTTCCCCTCTCATTTCACTTTACTCCCCTCCACGCACTCTCCTACCTCTCCCCTCTCATTTCACTCTACTCCCCTCCACGCACTCTCCTACCTCTCCTCTTTCATCTCACTCCACTCCCCTCCACGCACTCTCCTACCTCTCCCCTCTCATTTCACTCTACTCCCCTCCACGCACTCCCCTACCTCTCCCCTCTCATCTCACTCTACTCCACTCCACGCACTCTCCTACCTCTCCCTTCCTCATCTCACTCTACTACCCCTCCACGCGCTCTCCTACCTCTCCCCTCTCATTTCACTCCTAACGCCCCTCCACGCACTCTCCCTACCTCTCCCTCTCATTTCACGCGACTCCCTCCACGCACTCATCCTACCTACTCCTCTTTCATCTCACGCCATCCCCTCCAAGGCAAGCTCCTACCGCTCCCTCTCATTTCACTCTACTCCCCTCCACGCACTCTCCTACCTCTTCCCCTCTCATTCACTCTACTCCACTCCACGCACGCCCCTACCTCTCCCCTCTCATCTCACTCTACTCACTCCACGCACTCATCCTACCACCCCTCTCTCATCTCACTCTAACCACCCCTCCACGCACTCCCTACCTCCCACGCACTCCCCTACCTCTCCTCTATCATCACTCTACTCCCCTCTACGCAATCCCCTGCCTCTCCCCTCATCTCACTCCTCTACTCCCCTCCACGCACTCCCCTACCTCTCCCCTCTCATCACTCACTCCCCTCCACCGCACTCTCCTGCCTCTCCCCTCTCATCTCACTCTACCTCCCCTCCACCGGCACTCTCCTACCTCTCCCCTCTCATCTCACTCCACTCCCCTCCACGCACTATCCTACCTCTCCCCTCTCATCTCACTCTACTCCCCTCCACGAACTCCCCTACTTCTCCCCTCTCATCTCACTCTACTCCCCTCCACTCCATGCACTCTCCTGCCTCTCCCCTCTCATCTCACTCTACTCCCCTCCACTCCATGCACTCTCCTGCCTCTCCCCTCTCATCTCACTCTACTCCCCTCCACGAACTCTCTGCTCCGTTAATCGAGGCTTTCTACAAAATTTCCTCGTCAATTCTCCACTGCCCCTCCCTTCCTCTGCCCCAGCCGCCCGTGCTGTCGACCCGCTGCCCCAGGTTCGAGTTTAGGCTCAGCAATTTCCTCACCTCCTTTGCCTGTGACTCACTGCCTGCGTGTCCGAAATCGACAGAAATGTATAAATGTTGTCTATTGTATTTATACATAAGTGGTTTATGCATGTCTGACTAGGCTGTTGAGGTGTATGAAAGTCTCTACATATCTACACATGCACGCCTGTCTCAATCTGACTCTCAGTCTCCCTGTTTGTCTGGTGGTCTTGACTCTATGTATGTGTTATGACGTGTGTCAGTCTCTCTTTGTGTGTGTCTACACATCGGTGCGTTCCTCGGTCAGCCTTGACTGTTCGTCTGCTCCTCTGTGTGGTGCGTCTTGTCTGCGTGCAGAAGGACTACCTGATCGTGGTGATAATCAGCCCCAAATACAAGCGAGACACAGAGACTCCGGCTGGCAGTGACGAGCACGGATTGCACACACACTACATTCACCAGCAGGTGAGTCGCACACCCAGTGTCTCTCTCTACACACACACCCAGTGTGTGTCTCCTATACAAAGACAAAGATCACCTGGACTTGCGACCCAGAGGTCGCAGGGGGGTCGATTCCATCTCCCGGTGTGGCAGTTGAAGCAATGGGGGCTAGGTTCTTAATCCCCCCCCCCATCTCCTCCACCCACCCCCTCCCCCCATCTCCTCCACCCACCCCCCCCATCTCCTCCACCCACCCCCTCCCCCCATCTCCTCCACTCCGCCCCCATCTCCTCCATGCACCCCCCATCTCCTCCACCCACCCCCCCCATCTCTTCCACCCCCCCATCTCCTCCACCCACCCCTCCCCCCATCTCCTCCACCCACCCCCCCATCTCCACCCACCCTCCCCCATCTCCTCCACCCCCCCCATCTCCTCCACCCACCCCTCCCCCCATCTCCTCCACCCACCCCTCCCCCCATCTCCTCCACCCACCCCCCCATCTCCACCCACCCTCCCCCATCTCCTCCACCCCCCCCATCTCCTCCACCCACCCCCCCCATCTCCACCCACCCTCCCCCATCTCCTCCACCCCCCCCCATCTCCTCCACCCACCCCTCCCCCCATCTCCTCCACCCACCCCCCCATCTCCACCCACCCCTCCCCCCATCTCCTCCACCCCCCCCATCTCCTCCACCCCCCCATCTCCTCCACCCACTCTCCCCCCATCTCCTCCACCCACTCTCCCCCACCAACCCCTACCCCCCAGCTTCTGTCCACCCAGCGGTGTGATTGGCTACTGCACCGGAGTTAGTCGATCAGCAGGCCGCGTGCGGTGGGGTGCACTGTGGGTACGTTGCGCGATTGGGCTTCCGCATCCCCCCCCCCCCCCCGTACTGGCAGGTCAGGTGCTGAGTTACGGTATGCCACACAGGGACAGCTGCCGCTGGGAGTAAGGGCTAGAGGGGGGGGGGGGTGAACCGGATATGTGACGGTCGGATTTGCGACCGGCCGGGGTGACCGAGCGTCTGTGGCGTCTGTGCGTGCGCCGCGTGCAGATGAAGAACGAGTACATTCAGAACGGGAGCAAGAACTTCCGCTTGGTGCCCGTGCTGTTTCCCGGGGCGACCAAGGTGGGTAACACGTCGCCCCGCGCGCCCGCTCAGAGCTCGCGTCCGGCTGGCGGGGTGGGGCGGGGGGGGGGGGGGGGGGGCCGGGGGGGTCCGGGGGGGGGGTCAGCCTCATCGTTTGCCGAACGCGGTGGCAGCGGCGTGACGCCCCCCGCTTAGCGGGACGTGGTCTCCAACGACGTGCATCGTCAGTGCGGTGTTGTCACGTCAGCCCCTGCCCCCCCTCCGCCTCCACCCGCGGCAAGGCTCTGCTGCCTCGCAGCAACACCTACGATGAGCACGGTTGGCTACGTACGGTGCGAAAGAAGTTCAACACACGTACACGAAGGCCTCGGCCGCTTCGCAGCTTGGTGGGCAAGGCCCGCGTGTGACCTGCTGGGATATGTCAGTATTATTATTATTAGGCTCAATGAGCTATACAGCTCTTTTTCAGCAGTGACCTGGCCACAAATTGCTTATCACGTGTAAATTTATAGCAGCCAAATACTCTTAAACGCACGTTAATTCTAAACGTGGAGGGAAAAACCAGAGGATCCGGAGGAAAAAAATCCACGCGACCACAGGGACAGAGATGTAAACGCCAAATATACAGCAGCAGGCGTCAGGGTCAGGATCGAACCCAGGACCGCATGTGTACCAGGCAAGGTAGTTAACATCTCCTAGCCACCGTGATGATGATGACAGAGAGAGACAACCAAACTCCAAATATACAGCAGCAGGCGTCAGGGTCGGGATCGAACCCACGACCTCCTGTATACCGGGCGAGGTAGTTAACATCTCAAAGCCACCGTGATGATGATGAGAGAGAGAGACACGCAAACTCCAAATATACAGCAGCAGGCGTCAGGGTTGGGATCGAACCCACGACCTCCTGCATACCAGGCGAGGTCGTTAACATCTCGGCACCATGGCGCGCTAACGTTGCAAACATTCCGCCCGGACCCTGACTCACCTTCATCTTCTTCTTCTGCCTCCTCCTAGGGGCACGTGCCGAGCTGGCTGAACAACACCATCGTGTACCCGTGGCCCGGCAAGCAGGAGGACCTGATGCTCCGCCTGTGTCGCCGCGAGAAGTACGAGATCCCTCCGCCGGGGCCTCTGCCCGTCATCGTCGCACAGCCCTTCGGCTCCAAGTAGCGAGGAGTGACCTAACCCCCAACTACCACCTCATTGGCGCGAAGGCACTGCCGCTAGAGTGCGCCCTGCCGGAATAATCCTCCTGTCGCTTTCGTCGTCGTCGGAACGAGCGTCGGATCGAGCGTCGGATCTTAGAATTGTTCTCTTTTGTTGTAATGTTTTCACATCGCCGTTGCTAATCGCAGGCCCAGGACGACTCTGACCAGGGCTTTTACGTTTCTCGCTCGATATTTTCCGGGTCGCTTTGTAGACTTTGGGAGTAGGTTGGCACGTGACCGGCAGGAGCCACAGGCAAAGAGGCGAGAGGGGTATTATACTGGATGTGGTGTGCCGGGTGCGGACCCGAGGAGGAGACCCGACTGATATTAATGAAGCCCTGCTTAATAAAGCAAAGTGGCCAGTAACTAAGAGCAGTAACTAAGAGCAATATTCATAGCGTAGAGCAGATGAGAACCATAACGTATCTTGAACCGGGCAAGGTTGTAGCTATCTGGAGTAAGAGACGATGATGGGAGGAGGAACTTCCCGAGTGGAGCGGTGCGAGGGACGAAGCAGAACGAGAGGTGAGGTGACCTGCAGTGTGGTGAGTGGGCAGGGGGGTGAGTGGGTGTTGTCGTGACCTGCAGTGTGGTGGTTGGTGGTTTTACGCAGTCTCGAGATGACCTAATGATCAGTCTGGTGGACATGGGTCCTCAACACGACACGAGGAATCTACGACTATAATCCGTCGTATTAAAAGGGTTACAAAAATCTGGCCCGGTTGTCGACCTCTGGTGGGGGGGGGGGGGGGGGGGGTGGGGGCATCTCATCGGCAGAGTTTGGCTTATTAAACGAACACTGCTGGGATGCCACCAGTTGTTGTTGGCAGGAGCACTCCGTCTAAACAACGTATGCACGTTGAACTTCAGGTAGGTGCGGGCGAAAGGACAACAAGCTGATCACGACAAGCAGTTCTAAACAAATTCGTTTTCAATCTCGATTATTTCTAAGCGCATGGCTCCCAATGGCTTCCTAATGTCGGAAGGAAGAGCAATGGGGGGGCTGGGGGGGGAGGGGGGGCTGGGGGGGAGGGGGGGGCTGGGGGGGAGGGGGGGGGGGGCTGGGGGGGAAGGGGGGGGCTGGGGAGGAGGGGGGGGGCTGGGGGGGAGGGGGGGGGCCCTGTGCGATGCACAAGAGAAACAATGTTCTGCGCAAACTCGTCGTACGTTTATAACGGAGCGCAATTCGGTCTAAAACGAGGGCTTCATTTCTCGCTCGGGTTTGTCTGTTTTCCTCAACGCTGTTCAGGCTCGCTTGGAGGTAGGGCTCATCGGCACAAGGCACTACTACCACGAGAGTACAAAGTACGCCTGCCCATAATAATCCCTGTACCATTGTACCGTGCATTCCTGTATGACCGTACGGACACGTTCGTTTATTGTTTTGTAAATACGCGGTGTGCCACTCGCATTCACGGATCGGCGTTCGGGAACCGTTGCGGCTACAATTCAGCACCGCGGCCGCATCGCGGCGTGTGCTATATAACAAAGACAAAGACCCCCCGTATAGCCTTATATTGTTGGGGCAAGTGCTGTTAGCGAGCACCTATGAGGGCTGGAACGGCACACGAGGGGGGTGGGTGGCCAGCAACCACGCCCGACCGCCTTTGTCTCCCCGATGTTTACACACTGCACCGGGTACACATTTGAGGCCGCGGCGACGTAGGGGAGGCCCGGGACCAGTTGAGTTAATCTGTCACCGGTGTTGGTCGTGTGCGGGAATTGAACTCGGATCGCCGGGTTCGTAGCACGGCGTGTTGAACGCTCCCCTAGGTGTATATAAACGCACACGGACACGCGCCACTGAGAAAGTTTAAAACGTTGGCTTCCACCATTGCTTCCACCCGGTGTTTTCACTTCCACTGGGACGTGTGCGGTGGTTCCCGATTTTTTTCGGAGGGTTTGGAGGAACGTGACGCCTGTATTTAGCGCGCTGGGCTGGATGTGTTCAATTTTTTTTGTTCGTCTTTGTAGTAATAAAAGACCAAAAAAAAAATAAGCCATCGGCGTCTGCCCGTTTCGTTGATGTTTGTGTTGAGCGACGCAAAAAAAAATAACTTTGGACGAAAGTATTCTTCTTGTGCTTTTGTTTAAACTTTAGTCGACGCGGCCTGCAACTCGAACCCCGGCTCGCCGGTTCCATACGACGACCTCGTGGAAATGCGTGGAGCGTGAGACACTCCAATCCAGCAGTTGGATGAACACGAGGTGCTGTGAGAGAGAGTGCAATTGCGGTTGTGAACAACGTAAACAAAGTCGTTGGACGGATGTATGGAGGATGTGTGTTACGCGAACGGTCCCAATCTCCAGCCACCATCACCACTTCCCTTTAACACAGACGCCGCGACTACTGAACTGTAGAAATCCGTGGAAGCTCCCCCCCCCGCCACCCCCATCATCATCTCTGAAGGACAAGTCAAAGCAGTGCGGTTGTGGCCATGCAACCCAAACTATGGATCCATATAGTGAACCCATCGAGATGTTTGTGGGCATCCGTAGTACACAATGATGGGTACACAAAGACAAAGATCCCTCGTATAGCCTTAACATACTGTAGGGGCAAGTGCTGTTAGCGAGCACCTATGAAGGCCGACACGGCACGCGAGGGGGTGCGTGGCCAGCACCACGCCCGACCGCCTTTGTCTCCCCAGTGGCGATGTTTACACACCGCGCCAGGTACTCATTTCAGGCTGAGTAGACCTAGGAGAGGCCCAGGACCGGTTCAAATAATTGTCACTGGTGTTGGCCGTGAGCGGGAATCGTACCCGAGTCGCCAGGTTTATAGCGCAGCGTGCTAACCGCTACACTACCGCTCCCCCCCCACACACACAGTCACACATACACACACACTCACACATACACACACGCGCACTCGCGCAGTAAGTCCAGAGCGCATGGACGCACTGGGCACCTGGAGTCTCGCTAGATTCAGGAATTCCCGGCCTGGGTGGATTTCCAGGAACCCCTTTGCTCTATTGCGGGCAGCACTTCTCGTACGCAAGAACCTCCTCCTCCTCCTTCCTGCTTCAGCTGGGCCCTATTTACATAACTTACTCATTCGTCACACGACACGCCTGATGATGATGATGCCGATTATGATAACCCCAATTAGAAAATGTCATAAAGCCGGCCGATTTGTGTAGCGGTTAGCGCGCTGCTCTATGAACCCGGCGACACGGGTTCGATTCCCGCTCACGGCCAACACCAGTGACGATTATCTGAACCGGTCCCGGGCCTCCCCTAGGTCGACTCAGCCTCAAATAAGTACCTGGTGCGGTGTGTAAACATTGCCACTAGGGAGACACAGGCGGTCGGGCGTGGTGCTGGCCACCCACCCCCTCGCGTACCGTTCCGGCCTTCATAGGTGCTCGCTAACAGCACTTGCCCCTACAGTCTGTTAAGGCTATATGGGGGATCTTTTGTGTGGCTTCGTCTTGTGGGTTTTTGTTAGTGGGGAGCCGGCAGTGTAGCGGTTAGCGTGCCGCGCTACGTACCCGGCCACCCGAGTTCGAGACTGCGCGGGGAATGCTTCCATCCAGCGGTGGAAATGGGATGTGGTGGCAGGCAGCCTGCGAGTTCATTGGACGTGACGACCCCTCCCTCCTGCCCTCGCTCGCGCCAGCAGGGGGGGTGGGAGAGGACGACTCAGAGAGAGAGGGGGGGAGGAGACGACTCAGAGAGAGAGGGGGGGGGGGACGACTCAGAGAGAGAGAGGGGGGGGGGTGGGAGGGGTGACTCAGAGAGAGAGGGGGGGTGGGAGGGGCGACTCAGAGAGAGAGGGGAGGAGAGGGGACGACTCAGAGAGAGAGAGGGGGGGAGGAGGGGACGACTCAGAGAGAGAGAGAGAGGGGTGGGAGGGGGCGACTCAGAGAGAGAGGGGGCGTGGGAGGGAGGGAGGGGACGACGCAGAGGGAGAGGGGGGGGTGGGAGGAGATGACTCAGAGAGAGGGGGGGGGGACGACTCAGAGAGAGAGGGGAGGAGAGGGACGACTCAGAGAGAGAGAGGGGGGGAGGAGGGGACGACTCAGAGAGAGAGAGAGAGGGGTGGGAGGGGCGACTCAGAGAGAGAGGGGGCGTGGGAGGGAGGGAGGGGACGACGCAGAGGGAGAGGGGGGGTGGGAGGGGACGACTCAGAGAGAGGGGGGGGGGGGGGTGGGAGGTGACGACTCAGAGAAAGAGAGGGGGGGTGGGAGGGGCGACTCAGAGAGAGAGGGGGGTGGGAGGAGACGACTCAGAGAGGGAGAGGGGGACGACGACTCAGAGAGAAGGGGGTGGGAGGGGACGACTCAGAGAGAGAGAAGGGGGGGGACGACTCAGAGAGAGAGGGGGGGGTGGGAGGAGGACGACTCAGAGAGAGAGAGAGGGGGGTATAATAGTGTATTATAAAGTGTACTGTGTAGTGTAGCATGTATGTAATGACTCATGCACGATATAATTCCACACATTTATAAATGACCTTACGTGCCCCCTGGGGACATCGCCACGCACCCACAGAGGTCCGTCCCGTCTCCCCCCAAATTGAGAACCACCGCTCTATCCCCACACAAATCTGGGACAGGTGGAAATCCCCCGGCGTTTGTTGATGCACTCTAACGCCTCCTCGTGGCGAGCCAGGCCCCACGGCTCTTCCTCGACTCGCAGCGGGGAACGAGGGGAGAGGGGGGAGTCTCTCAGCATCGGTGCGTTGATCCGCCAACCCTCGCGCGCGCCAGCTCTGTGCTGAACTCCACTCCACAATCTTCTTGGTTCTTTCGGTAAAGTCACGTAGAAGGGAAGTAATAAAATAATAAAAATAAATTAGATTTTTCGATTTAAAGCTTTCGTGACTGCGGGGATTCATCTTCTTGGTTCTTTCGGTAAAGTCACGTAGAAGGGAAGTAATAAAATAATAAAATAAAACATAATAAAATTATTCTCACGACGTTTCGGCAACAACGCAAGCAGCCGTCTTCAGGTGGAGAACAGGTCTGTCAAGTAGACAGAGTCTGAATGGCACGCTGCTGGCTTGGAGCGACTATTTATGCTGGGATGGAAGGGGCGAAGAGCGTCTTGACAAAATAATTTGCATATGCCATTCAGACTCTGTCTACTTGACAGAGCTGTTCTTCACCTGAGGACGGCTGCTTGCGTTGTGGCCGAAACGTCGTGAGAATTATTTTATTATGTTTTATTTTTATTATTGTATTATTTCCCTTCTACGTGACTTTACCGAAAGAACCAAGAAGATGAATCTCTGCAGTCACGAATGCTTTAAATCGAAATTCGATCATTACCGGCAACGACTAGCAGCGGTGGCGAGGGTTATCCGAGCCGGTCCTGACTCACCCGCCCAATGCAATCACGCACCACCACTTGCAATTGCAATGCAAATTGGAGGAGCGGTGGCGCAACGGTTAGCGCGCTGCGCTATCGATGCGACTCCAGGCCTCCAGCCGTCCGGGGTTTGCTCCCAGGTTACGGCTAAGCGTGGGTGGTGAGTGATTATCAGTAGCTTCAACTAACTAGCGTGGTGAAGTATGGTCAACCCCCCTCCCCCCCTATACGGATACGTTATGGGGGAGGCCTTCATCCAACAGTGGATACAAGTTACGAAAGAAGACTGATGAATGATGCTCTACTGCCCTCTGCTGTAATTGACTAAGCTCAACACAAGTCGCTCTCTTCCCACATCTGTGGGTCTCCACGTGCAAAAAAAATTGTGTACCATTCATCTTTTGCACGTCTCACTCCCTCGTGTCAAGGCCACACAGTGGCATTGACGGATTTGTCGAGATGTCGTTTTGTCGGCACTCACAGAGGCGACACTGAAATCGTTCGCTATACCAAGCGCGTTTGTTGATGCCTCGCCGCTGCAGAGGGCGCTGTGGTTAAACAGAACGGAGAGCGAACACACCCCGACCTCTAACCCCACCCACACTAGGCAACCTGTCTCTAGCCCTGCCTCTAACCCCACCACACTCACCAATCCGTCTCTAGCCCTGCCTCTAACCTACC